CAACTACAGATCTGCAGCAATTAAATGATGAGAAAAATAAAATGGTTTCATTAATTTTATCCAAATAGAGAATAAATAAACACTATTTAGGTGTTCTGTTTGTCAACCCCTTTTCTACAGGTGTTTGTTTCTATGTACAAATCCATCTATGTAAAAATCCATCTCAATAGAGATTTACATCACTATGTCCATAATTTTTTGAACTTATACAGAACCCTTTGCCTGGAATTATTCATATTCATGTCAACAATTGGATATGTGCTCTTATGGGGGCTCTGGAGGAGCATTACAATCTACACAAATTTAGCTGTTCTCTGAACAGCAGTTCCTGTTCAGAGAAAAGCTAGCACTTCACCACAACAGCCATAGCATAAAAATATTTTAGAGCAGCTGTGCTGGTGGTCAAACACTGCAGCAGCTGCAGAATGAATGCCAGGGGTGTCTCTTCCAAGGCCAGGTTGGACGGGGCTTGGAGCAACCAACTGGAAGGTGTCCCTGCCCAGGGCAAGGGTGGAACAAGATGAGCTTTATGGTCCTTTCCAAAGCAAACCTTCCTGTCAGCCTGTTAACTTTGATACAATATATGTCCAAATGTAATATAGTGGAGATCAAGACAGACAAACAGCCATGACTGGACAGTCTGAAGGATTAGAGAACCCAGGATGAGAAGAGGTAAATATGCCCACAGTAATGACTCTCTTTGCAGCCAGAGAACAATCCTGCCCCTGCAGCAGGTTCTGACAAACAGGATGACTGTTCTTCATTAATGTTCCATTATTACTTGGATGTTTTCCTTCCTAGCACATGTACTTTTAATTTTGAAAAACAAACAAAAACCTACCCTAAATCTGAACTGCTAAGGAACAGGCAACCATTCAATGTAGTATATTTAGTTAACATCATAAAGCATAAAGAAATCTATGTTAAAACTCATAATCCCATACACTAAGTGAGCATTCTGACTGCAGAATGAGCTTCTGCAAGGAATCAGAAAAAGTGTGATTCTTTTTTTCTCTTCCTTATTTCTTAGATTACATTTTGGGAAGAGTAAGGTTAGGGGGACAGAGGGATTACCTAATGACCCTTTTTACTATAACTATTTCTTTTAAACTGGAGATGATTTAACATTTACTGTTGTGAAAGCTGCATTGCTATGGCAACCTTCTAAAAAAAAGGATCACTGTAGGTACATCACATTCATATTGACATGCAAACACAGACAGGAGGTTTTTCTTGAAAGACAGAAGCATCTCCAGATTTTCTATTTTATTTACATGATTTAGGTACAGGTTGAAAGAAGTAATCTGCTTTCTTGAATATTTACATTCTCATCTATCTATACATGCCTTAACCCTGTATGAACTCCAGCTGCATTTTAACTGAGCAACACACACTGAACTGCTGGAGATGAAAGGAACATTTTGTTTTTTCCTCACGCAAATGTGCTGCAAACTAGTCTAAACACTCTTTTCAGTAATTTTTATTATTTTTATATGGCTATAATTGTTAAATACCAGTTTACTTATCAAATATATGTGCTTTATGTTCACGTAAATGTTAAATACCAAAAGCCTGATTTGAGAACTGAAAAATATAGAAATGTTAAATGTTGAATCACTGCACATTAACTAAAGGAATGACTAACAACTCACATTCAACTGTACAACACTTATTTTTAGTTAATTTTAAATCATATCAGTAATTTTCTTGTTCTGATACAAGCCTTTGCACCCATTTTACTGTCATGTTAAGATCACTTATCCCATAGCTGGAGAATATAATCTGGAATTTATTTTTCATACCTTTTCTCAACTGAGTAATGACCTTGGTGATTTGTTTGTAAGAAAAGCTCAAGGAATAAATATACATATGTACCAACCACCTTTTCAGATTAGAAGCTATATTAACACACTATACTTAAGGTATCAGTGCATTTGCAATCGATAATGCAAAGTACAGGCACCCTTTAAAATCACTACATTCAAAATAAAAGTGGGTGGAAATAAATTTTAGTAATATTCAGATATAACACAGGAACAGTAGGAAAGAACCCTGCCCAGGTTGAAGGGATTTGTGTTCTAGTTCCTGCCCCAAAAAACTGTGGAAGATTTTTATCAGAAGATTGCCTAAGGTAACAATTTCCAATTAATAAATGTGGGACTTGCAGAATTATAGTTTTGGTAGCAAGCACTGAAATTTCCTTCTATTACTTTTGTGCTTAAAGTAGTTTTTTTGGCACTCAAATCCCAGATGGATACCTAAACAAAGAATGAGTCTTTTGAGTTAAGAAAATACTTCCCAAATTTCCAAACTAATGGCAGTAAAATTACATGGGATGCTCAGTGTGAAGCATGAAGCCACACTGGTTTAACTGTAAATCACTCAAGAATTTGTGGCTGGACCTCTGTAAGTTTTGTTTTTCAACAAGTTCAAATGGTTGATTTATAAATCAACACAATTTACATTTTCTAAAAGGAGCAACAGCTGGAACTGCTGGTGCTGTGTTGACAGTTCCCCACAATAATGTTTGAATAGAGAACTAAAGCCAAACAATGGTTTGAATTTGTACAATTTGTGCAATTTCTGTTCAGATCAGGTTGAGAGTTAAAAAGAGAAAAGTCACCTGGGAGCAGAGGAGGATGCTAAGTTAGTAATTATGTCTCTTGATACCTGTTTTGTTTACTAATCAAAGGTCTAATTGCTTTGCTCTATTTTAATTAAAAACATTCTTATTTTAATTACTTACTTTTCCTGCACACATTAGCACTGAGAGAAACCACTGAGGCTACAAGTAATATGATGAAGAGTTTGAAATCAAGCTTTTAAGAATGTTTTAATAATTTCACAAGTTTTTAATAAAGAAAAATTAAGCTGTTCTTCATATATGTGGCTACTACTTCTCCAAGGATTTCATCCTAGCCAAAAAAACCAAATCTTTTTTTCTTTTAACTTAGAAAGTCAACTGATATCAAATATAACTAATACAGGACATTAATAATAACATTAGCTAAAAGAGCTGGTGTAGGAATATGAAAGGTTTGATGGCATTTAGATATGCTAAAGGCTTCAAGGTGGCTGAATCTCACAGAAAATCTACTCATTAAACTTGAGGGAAACAGGAAAATGGAGAGCTCTAAAAAACACGGGGGGCAGATCATTATAATTTGTTTGGGAAAAAATCAGGATGTAATTTAATGAGGACAAATGCAAAGTGCTACACTTGGTTGGAGTAAATAATCAACTGTTCAAATACAGAATGCTCCAAGTTCAAATACAGGAACAACTGGCAGTGTTTTCAGAACAGAATGAGGGAACTTTAGTGGAAGTGAAATATGAGTCAGTACCATTGTGCAGCTTTCCCACCAGCAATCACAATGGGATAGATAAAAAGGAGCTGTGAAAGTAATCCTGTGCTAGCCAACCCAAATAGATAATCAAACCCCAGGTTTGATTATCACGTATTTGATGGGGGAGGAAGGTCTACTGAAGACTCAGGAAAGCAAAAAAAAAAATTACAAGAGATGTATAGAAAATGTGACTGAAAAAAACCCTGAGGGAATCTGATTATTTAAGTCTGAAGATGCCTCAGGAAGACAAAGTGATATAGTTTTCAGGAGAGCAGGAAGTAACTAAGGCTATGAGCTGCTCACCACTGTGCTGTGTACAGGACAAGAAGTGCTCCTGGCTACAGTTAAAAACTTTCTGCAGCGTGGCTAAGAGACCACAATGGATAGGGCAGGGAAGCTTAATTAAAAAAAATAGGTATTTATCAGAATATCATGTATCTGATTCCATCTTTAGGTGGCAAGGGAATAGGCTAATCCTTGAGGCCTTTCCCACACCAGTATTCTGACTGCCAATCTTGTATTTCCATAATGCCACAGCATAAAGAATGTTTCAGGCAGAATACCTGCCACTGAATGACCTCTGGGAAGAGACAAATAGTACACATGGCACAGCTGAAGCAGGGATGAAAGGCAAAGGGAAACTCAGTCCTTGCAAGATTTGCATTGATTTTAGCCTTGTTTTGGTACACTTCTGTCAGCTGAGGGCAACTCCAGCATCTTCCTCTTCTTCAGTAAAAGGTCATGCTGCATTTACCAGCCAAACACAAGCTGGAATTTCAGTGCCTAAATGCTACCAGCCAAAGAATGTTACGGATGCAATTATGAGAAGCTTAAAAAGTATCTCAGAATTGGCTTTCCTAGAAAATCAGGATTAGCTATTCAAGCTACATTTGGGAAACTCGTATTTGTAAAAATTATGCATTTTGCTGTAGTGACAGCCAACTTCAAGTACAGTAAAAAGCTGCTTAATGTACAAATCTGACTTCTGATCAGTTACTGCACGTGCAGAGGAACAGCCATCAGCTTTTTTTTTACACACTTCCATCCATTAGTGACTGGTGCAGGGGCAGCACAAGTGCAAACACCCCCAGAACAACTGAGTGTTTTTGTTCCTCTACTTCAAGACTAGCACTAGGGCACGAGATTCTGAGAGACACTGCCTGCTTTCAACTCACCTTGGTACCCAGGGAAAATCAGCTGTCCAGGCCTGGTAACACTTGGAGTTGTGAACAACATCTCAAATCCAAACTGAGTCACTTTAACTTTTAAAAATTTCACCATTTGCCAGCAAGGTCACGACCACTGTGAGCAAGCTTCTACTTCTCCAGCAATGAGGGAACAAGCACTAAGAGCACCACGTGTCTGACACTGCCAGGGTGCCTGGGGAAGGAAGAGCCAACTATACATTAGCATTTTTGTCCTTGTGAATACTCACCTCCACTTGTCTTTCCTGGAGATGACTCCTCAGTAGGGATGCTAACAAGATGCTGAGGAGCAACGTTAATTCCTGTTGCCTCTATCCTAAGTTTTCCACAGCCCACAGAATTTCCTTGCGAGAAAATGATGAAATGAGCAAGACTCATTAAACATATCATCCCACCCTCCTCCCTCCACAAGCCCAAGCAAAACAAAACAAGACTGTGAAAGCACCCAACACTTTTAATATTTTTATTGTGCGTTTTGTAAGTGCTTAAAGACACCACATCAGACTGTATCCATTGTGTTGTCCATACGTAGTTTGCCACATATATAAAGACAGGCAGACCCCCCAAAGCTTTCATATTCCAACTCAAAGAGACACAAATTAGATACAATAGTATCATCTCATTATACAGAAGGCAAACCATAGAAAGTATCTCCGATCACACAAAACAGAGGCAGGAACTGAAACAGACCTTCCAGAACTGTGTTTCATCAAAAATGCTGTGTGCTTCTGGCAACTTTAAAAGAGATTAAAAATTATGTTAATCTAGTCAACTGAAAAACATTAGTTAGAAATAAGCTTTAAGAAGTTCCCGATTCAGAAAAAAATTCAAGTGTAACTTTCAAACAAATAACAGGTACAGTGGGAATAAACAAAACCCTTTTTCCTCCTTCAGTATAAACTGATTGCCAGACCAGTTTGTCATAGATTACTCTTCTTTCTTTCATATATAGAAGCATACAGATTAATAAAGTAATTCTCGGAGGATGAAATCAAGTTGTCAAGGTCATAATCCACTTCAAAGGTAGGTCTCTCTCCAAAAATTACAAGAGCAAGAAATACAGCAAAGTGTGCAGTAAGTCCCCATATCTTGAATGACTTTTTATGTTCCTGGTCATAATATATAAAGCAGTGCATCAGAGTTAAGGAACCTGATGAGGTTTTATAGGACAAGGCCTTGTACTTTAAGGGCTTGATGAAGTACTCCAAAGGCACAAAAAAAACCTCGCTCACTTCATCTGGGTTAGGAGTGGCCTGGAATGCATCCTCTATAAATCCTACAACTGGTGTCACCAAATGATTCATCTAAAAGGAGAGAAAAAGAATAAGAAAACCCTATCAACAAAACCCTCAAACATTAGGTTTGTACCAAGTACAAATGTTCTTTATTTTAAAAGCATTTCAGCTGTTGCAAAATGAGTACAAGAAGCCTATGAACTATTCTTAACTGTAATGCAATTTAGCCCCTCTAATGGCAAGCTATGTAATTTGGTTTTAACAATTTAAAATTATCTTTTTGTATTTGTTAAACATGATTTTACAAATATTCAGTTTATTCAGTTCATTCTGTATAATCATATTGCAGTTAAAAAGGCTTGTCACTCTGCTACAGAAATAAAAAGCATGCGTGCTTTCTCATGGGTCTTCCTTATTTACTTTGTCAAATTCTGATTTTAATCTAAGTTTTCCAAATCACTCATGCTTTATCATATTTCTGTATCTATTTTCCTAGGATATAGGAATTTTCCTGGAATATAGAAACATGTTCCTATAGATACAGAAATATGATTAAAGCATATCTAGCTATAGAACACACGCTTTTTGAAACCACCTATCTATGGACATTTTAATTTTAAATGTAATCCCTTCTCCCGTAGGGAGGCAAAATCTACTGAAATAGTAGTTTTTATCAAGACCACACCAAAATTAGTTAAGATATTTTGCTAGCTTTATTTATTCACACTAACAAAGATCATTGTTCAGTAGAAAGGAGTAACACCAAAACAGCATTTGTGCTCTTTCATGCACGGCTGGAGAGACTCCATCCGAGTCAGAATCACCTGGAATTCTGTACAGAGAAGACAAAGTAGCTTCCAACAGGTAAAATTTTTGAGGTCCAAAACCAACACGATTTTTTCTACTGACTGAGACAATTTACTGGAAAACACTGAAAATTTGATCATTTTTACACAGAGCCTCTGAGCTACATGACTTTAATGTTATCTGCACAGAAATTATAATTTAAGAAGTTAACTAAAGCATTTCGCAATAAAATTTCAAAACCGGTTCTTCTGGTTTTTAATGGGGAGAGGATATTGCTAGCAGATAGAAAAACAGAAAACATAGTAATAAACTGTTACCTGGAGAACAAAAATAGTCTTTAGAAACAGCAGCCCCTCTGTGCTATGGGAAAACCCATCTTCTGCAACACTGAAGATTGTTATTGAAATTGGCAGCCGGTTAATTTACAAACAGAGACCAACACTCCAAAGACAACTCCGGGAGTCTCCCTGATGGAGTTTCCTATGGAATCCCAGTGCACATCACCTCTGGCAGGCCCTTTCTGCCTGCACAGCCCTGGTGTCAGCAGGACACTGAGTGAGAAACTTGTGAGGCTTCCGCAGGACATTGGAGCCCTGTTATACAGCCTGTCAGGAACATCTGCTCCGGTTTTGGGCTAACCCCATGGTAGAGTATTTTCCTTGCATCTTATCCAAACTTCCACATTGCTGCTGGTGTCCATTGTCTCAAGAAGAGTCTGGTATCATTCTCTCTACAACCACCCAGGAGAAGAGAACAGATAGATCCCCTGCTGGCTTTCACACTGAGCAAACCCCCCTCTCTCATCGTCTCCTCATAAGCCATGTGCTCTAACACCCTTACTGTCTTCATGGCTCTCTGCTAACTAAACTCTCACCAGTGCAGCACTGTCACTCTGGTACTCCAGTGTGTCACTAACTGGTGCCTCAAGGCTGGTCTGACAAATACCAAACACAGAAAAAAAACCTCTTCCCTTGAGGTCTGAAAAGGTCACTGTCAACCTCACAAAATATAACAACCCATCCTATTTTCTAATTTTATGTTGACTTACCTTATCAATTCCAGGCACCAGCCTACAGATCACTTCCACCTTCTCTGGCTGGAGTCCCACTTCTTCTTTAGCTTCTCGGAGAGCAGTATCAATTTCATCTTTATCACTGGCTTCACTTTTACCTCCTGGAAAACACACTTGCCCCGGTGATCTTCTCAGCTAGAATGTAAAGGAGCATTACTGTTAAATATAACAAGTTTTATATTTCCTCTTGGATGCACACAGATACTTGCTGGTATTGCAGCACCACTTTATGTTTATCTTCTCAGTCAAAGCTGCTGGAAATGGTGGTTAAGGTTTCTGCAGACCAGAAGAAACATGCCTTAGCAAGAGCTACACAAGAAAAAGCTGAGCCTATCCCCAACTAATCCATAAACCCTCACTTTCAGAAATACATTGTATCCATATAGCGTTGTGTAATTCATACTGTAACTTCTGCTTCAGTATGTCAAAGTTTACATTTTGCATCATCTTGTTTGCGTAAGAAACTGACAGATGAGTCCGGACAGACAACTTGAATAGCAAGATTAAAATACTCCAAGTAAGAGCAAGAACTTCCGAAAGACATAATTAAATAATGTACTTTTAAGTACGTTCCAGTAATAGGCTTGTGCATCAAAGAACCGTAAAAAATCACATTTACAATGAGCTTATCAGCTACGTAACTGTAATTATTTGGATCTTTCTAAGCAAAACTCAAAGTATTTACTGCAGACTGAAAAGTCTCATTAATAAAAGCTGCACTGCATTGTAACTTTTCTTCTTGAAGTCACCGTAAACAATCATTTCCTTTCCTGCTCTGGGAATCTTTTCCTGTCACGGGTTTCCGGGGATCCGACATGTTTCTGGCACGAAAACACCAGAATCACGGGAGTGTAAAAACATATGGTCGTGCCCTTGGGCACATGAGTCGAGGGGGGGCTGTGCAGATCCCGGGGCAGCGGGAGGGTCGGGATGGGGCTGTGCAGATCCCGGGGCAGCGGGAGGGTCGGGATGGGGCTGTGCAGATCCCGGGGCAGCGGGAGGGTCGGGATGGGGCTGTGCAGCCCCCCGGGGAGTGCACAGCGAGTGTTCCCCGGGCAGGATCGCGCCCCTCGAGCCCCCGGCCGTACCTGCATGGAGCGCACAGTGAGCAGCAGGTGCAGCCGCCCCTCCCGCACCATCAGCGGCAGCAGCACGGCGGCTTTGGGCAGCGGCAGGCGGGAGAACCTGTCCCGCACATCGAACTCCCTCAAGCGGCGCCGGGCGTTCTCCTTGACCCCCTGCCCAGGGGCGAACGGAGCGGAGCGCCGGGACCCCCCGGCCGTGCCCGGGCCGAGCGCTCGGTGCCCGTCCCGCTCCTCGTCCCGCTCCGCCGCCATCCCCGGCCCCGCCCGCTGTGCCCGGCCCGCCGCCCCGCCCCGGAGCCGCCCATCGGCACAGCTCGGGTCCCTTCCCTTTCCCCGCTCCCGGCCGTGTCCCTGTGCCGGAACCGCGGGGCCGTTCCCTCCTTGCCCAGCACGGGGCCCCATCGCCCCAGAAATGCGGCGCTGACGCCATTTGGCTCCACGGACCCAGTTCAGCCCCCGCTGAACGGCGGGATTGGAGCAGCTCCCGGCGGGAGCGGGACGGGCAAAGTGCTGCATTTCTGCCCAAACACTTGGAGAATCACGGACTCACAGGATGTTAAGGGGTTGGAAGGGACCTCAAAAATCATCTTGTGCCACCACCTGCCGCTAGACCTGGTTGCTCAGAACCCCCTCCAGCCTGGCTTTTTGAGAGTTGCAGGGCTGGAGCATCCACAACCTCCCCAGGCAACCTGTGCCAGTGTCTCACCACCCTCACAGTAAAGAATTTCTTCCTAATATCTAAGCCACATGTCCCCTCTTTCAATTAGTACCCATTACTCCTTGGCCTGTCACTACAGTTCCTGACAGAGTCCCTCTCTGGCTTCCCTGCAGGCCCCTCCAGGTACTGGAAGGTGCTACGAGGTCTCCACACAACCTTCTCTTCTGCCTGTCACTGACATGGGTTGTCTTACTCAGCTAAGCTCTGGGACAGTGGCTGATGTTGGGAAGCACCTTGGAAACAGAGCAATGGACAATGAAGGCTGAACCTTCCAGTCCCAAGAAAAGCTGGATTGTAATAATTACTGAGGCAATGGTAGCGCTCCCCTCGGGCTAGGGTTCAGGTAGCAAATGCTCCAAGGCTGTCAGGGGATAACTGATCATTGCCACTCTTGTCCTTCACCCCAGCCTTTAGCCAAGCAGCTGAAGTTCCCGCTACAGTCAGTGCTGCTCCCACATTAGCCATGCAGAGTTCCTAGTGTGATCAAGGGACACTTCACCACCCCACCCATTACACAAAGGCCAAGGAATGGGAATTCCTAAGAGAGCAGAGCAGCCTGCGGAGGAATAGGGGTGATGTCTGATCACACCTGCTTTCCTGGAGATGGCTGAGCCCCAGCTCCCAACCAAGCACCACACAGACACCTGCTCACTCCCCTCCTGTGGATGTGGGAGAGAACTGGAAGAGTAACAGTGCGAAAACTTGTGGGTTGAGACACAGTTTATTAGGTAGTATGTGGATGACGTAGAGATGGGTGTTGGGGGTTGAAGAGCAGCTGGGGAGGCCTCTGGTGAAGGCTGGGAAACCATGAGCAGAAGAAGCCATGACACAAATGGTGTCACTCTGGTTTTGCTGACCGCTGCACCTTCTTTGGTTTGCTGCTCTGGGTTTCACCTTTTTGCAGTGATGTAGAGTGTTTCAGACCAGCCTTCCGCAAATAGCCTTTCCCCATCACAAACACCGATGGGCTCTTCTGAGATGGCTTCAGGTTAGGAATGCTGGGAAGAAAGGGACTGGTATTAGCCAGATGAACATTTCCAGCCAGCCAGCTGCTCGCCTGTCTCCTCACAGAGCACACAGTGTCACATCCTCTCTCCATGCAAGCAGCGAGCAGCAAATGAAACAGAACTGCACTCCCTGCCACGGAGGCAGCAGAGGTGGAAGGGCAGAAACACAACCAGTTATGGGCCTGGGGACCAACTGCAGCATATGGGGTTCCAGGTAGAGAAGGAGGCTGGGCTTGTCCCATAAGGAAGCATAGCTGGGGACTGGCTGGCCCCTTGGCAGCCATTCTGGATCTCCCATTCCAGATTTTGCAGCCCTCCAGGAGCTTAGTGTTTCATACAGTGTCTTTTCCCATTGTCTCCACACAGATCCATAGACATCTCCACAGACATCTGGCCTTGGCCAGATGATCATCTTTCTGTGCTCTTGGATGCTGTGTGTTCCTGCTGCCTCTCTGGGGCTGGCTGTCCCCAGGGCTGCATGCTCACCCACCCCAGTCAGAGGGACTGAAGGGAGGATGTCAGAGGATGGACCAGGCTCTGCTTGGTGCTGCCCATCAATAGGACAAGAGGCAATGGGCATAACCTGATGCAAAACAAGTTCCACCTGAACGTGGGGAAGAACTTCTTTCCTGTGCAGGTGACAGGTTGTCCAGAGAGGGTGTGGAGTCTCCCTCACTGGAGGTATTCCAGAACCCTCTGGACACAATCCTGTGCCATGCGCTCTGGGATGACCCTGCTTGAGCAGGAAGGGTGCACCAGATGGCCCATCCTGTGATACCCACCAGGAGCATGGATTGGAAAGCACCTGGACATTTCTTACCTGCACAGCATTTCAGCCTTAAATTCCCCCACACGCGTCGGGCAGAATTTCACTTGGAAAATCTGGTTTTGTCCAGCAGGGATGGTACCACAGTCAGGCTCAATGGAGAACAGTGGTGGGTCATTGAAGTCATCTGGATACAGTTCCATGGAGGAACTAACGTACTTCGAAAGGCAGGTCATCTGGCTTGAACGGCGCCGACTTGGCGTGGGCTGAGTAGAGTGGGGCCGACTTGACTGGGGCCGAGTTGACTCGAGCGGCGACGCCCAGTGCACCCGACTTGCACGATGCTTGAACCAGTGATCCACAGTATCAGAGGACAAGAAATAACCTGCAGGAGGGAAAAGGACATCTTTCAAAGACAAAATCCTTTGTTCCCAACAACTCTGCCTCCTGCTGCAGGTGGATAGAAGAGAGCTGGGATGCACTTGGAGCACCTCTGGCCAAGTACTTTCAGCAGGAGATAGAGCGGCTGGGAGCAGGGTCTCCGCCTGCAGCACACACTCCCATGCTGGGGCAGGAGGCTTGGTTTTAGACAGTGACTTTGCATTTGCCCTGGAGTGGGGAACTGCATACAGACAGCGGCTGCAGGGCAGCTCAGTTGTTCCACCCTTGTTTTTCCCAGTCTCAGAGACTTCCCAAAGAGGTGCCCTGATGTCCCCCTTCCCAGTCCTGACCCAGCATGTGGCTCTCCTCAGAGCCCGGCTCAGCTCCTGTGCAGAGCACAAGTGGCAGAGCAAGAAGAGGAGGGGCTAAAAGGCAGAGAGGGGGTAAGGAGAAAACTCTCCAGCTGCAGCTGGGAAGTGGACAGGGATGAAAAAGCAATTAATGTTTTGGGGTGAAGTGGCAGGGTCTTCTCCTTGGACCCTCAGCTACCAACTGAAATGTCCCAGAGCCAATGACTTACGCATCAGAGTGACCGAGAACGGCTTTCCAGAACTCTTTGATGGTCTTTCCTCCTCCAGATCCACCTCCCAGGAGTATTTCAGGGCTACTTTGCCTGTATTGGACATCTGGAAACTGAAAAACAAGGAGGAGGAATAAAAAGTATGTACTAAAGTAACACTGTATGGTGGGCTTCTGGTACCACCTTCTGCTGAGGAACGTCTTCTTCTCCAGGCAACTCTGCCACGTTCAGAATTGCTGCCCTGGGTGGCCCAAACAAAGTATTTCAAAGTCTGGAAGTTTAGGAGGAAAGGGCCAACATGGTGCCCAGCACTCACGTGCTTATATCTGTCTGGAAGGGCTCAGTCTGCTTCATCTGAACCTCGATGGTGTCCAATTTGAACTTGGCATAGTCAACCTGAGCACTGAGGAAAAGCTCAACCTCGCGGCTGCTCTTCTCCAGGACGGTGTGAGGTGGTTCCGGGACTGCCTTGGCCACCTGCAGGCAGAGGAGGGAAGAATCACTGAGCAGAGCCCAGAAAGCCAGGCTGAGCTGAGAAATCCTTTGGCCTCCAAACTCAGCCGCATAGAAAGGACATTCAGGTTTATTTCCCTGGAAAGATGACAAAACTGGACTGTTGTACTACAGTATTGGTTTCTACCCACTGATCAAAGCAGTCACCACCACAGCTATTAATACACTCATGGGGATTATGGCCAGCTGTCAGTCCCAGTGCTTCAACCCTGTAGAGCCTCTGACCTTTTCCCTGGTCCCCTATAAATCCAGCAGGTCTCAAAGTTAGGATTAAGTTCCCCTGCTGGAGCCCTGTGGATGGAGAAGCCCAAGACTGACTAGTCCTAGAAAGAACTTCCTTCTCGTCTTAGGAGAAAGTGCTCTCCAGATGGCACATGGGGGGTGGGAGCTGGCTGTGGGCATTTTGGGATGCGAATGATCTCACTGGGAAAGTCTCCAACTGCTGATGCTCTGATGGGGAAGTTGGGTTTACAGGACTTACAAAGTTCTCAGAAAGAACCTTCACCAAGACAAGTGTGTTTGGCAATAATGATAGAAAAAGCAAGAGTTTCTGGAGATGATGCTTCTCCAGACTCCTGCACAGTGCCTGGGCTGCTCCATAATGAGATATCCCCCACAAGACAGAAGCCACACCCCAAATCTCTGGTATCGGTGTAGGCAGAGCTCGGAGCTCACTGGTGTACGCGGAAGAGCACTTGTGCTGCTCTCCCCTTCAGAACAAGAGACAGAACGCAGTGGAATTAACTCCTTGGGGGTGACAAGGCACCAAATCAGATGAAGAGACTTTAACACTGTCAAATGGGATAAAATCAAACGTGACCTCCCATTCAACACGGGCTGCAACACTTGGCCTGTGGCACAGACCGGCAGTTTGCATGTGGATAAAGGTCTCTTGCCCAAAGGCTTCCCCCTCTGGTGTGAGCGCACCCGCTCACTGCGCATCCGCCTCTCCCTAAAAGGCACTGCTGGTGAACCTCCCGGCTGGAGCCAATGCCCAGGGGAAGCAGGAGCTGCTCTGCCAGCAGCGCTGGTGCTCTGCTGCTGTCGGCAGGTCCTTTTGCAGAAGCTTGGTTAGCTTTTGCTGTTGTGCTTCTTACCTTCTCCTTGATAGGCCAGCGGGCTCCTGGTAATCTCTCAGTGGTGTCCTCCCATTTCTCAGTGTACATTCCATCGTCCCAGTTGTAAACCTCTTCTGGTGGCAGCTGGTATTTGATCTTGTCCACCTTACACTTCACAGAGTGCCTTTTGATGGTGACCGGGACTTTGGATTTCAAGGTCACTCTGATA